GCTTGTTTTCCCGTCATTTCAAAAGTGTTTGTTTGTAGTTAAGCGCAAAGCTACACAATGGGCTATCTGTGCTCTGCCCACCACGGGTATCGAAACCCGAAATCTAGCGTTGTAAGTCCGCAGACGTGCCGCTGTCCCACTGGGGGCGTTTCAAAAGAGAATTTTGAGCTTTGCCTGCGTGCGCAGCTTTTCAAACGCAGCGCTGGAAGTAGCTGCCATAAACGGGAGATAGACGAACGCCCGAACAGACACCACGGTTTGCAATCTATATAAGATGAAATCGCCACACTAGCATTCAACCCTCACAATGACTTGTTTAACCAAGGGTGCAGCGGTTCATCGAAGCTGAAAACCCTCAATGACGTTGTTACTGTTCCAGTCCAACTCAATTCTAATTGATAGTAAAGTTCTACCGAGCAATTACGGTTTTGGTGCGTGTCGAAAGATCCAATTTACCCTTATTTTGGAAAACGGTTTTCAAGAAGCTTAGTGTCTAAGTCACAACTGTCGAAATTTGATTATTTCGGACATTCGCGCAAAGCTACACAAGGGCATCTCAGCTAGCCGTCCCTAATTTTGAACTGATAGACTAGATACATTAGTTGTTTGATTACTTTAGAGCAAAGCCAAACTGGGCTATCTGTTGTGTCCACCGCGGGGAATCGAACCCCAGATTTTAGCGTTGTAAGTCCGTAAACTTATCGCTGTCTCACTGAGGGACAAAATTAGATAGAAGGCAGGTTAATCAACAGTACCCACCGGCAACTCTAGTCGAATAGTGATATTTGTCTGTCACTTCTATAATACACCCACGGCCCCAGAGAGCGGAGCACGAGCTTGCAACAATGACCATGAGTCCTCAAAATACAATCCGGCACGCTTACCATTAGGCCCAATTAAAAGCTTTATTGATTTTTTTCATCTTTGTTAGTGCTATGAAGAATGTGTAATATTACAAATCTATCAACAAAAACTGGGGCTCCTTTCATGTAGAGGTAATTCTCAGTTAAGTCAGTTTCATAACAACACGTTAGGATACTATAATGCGCAGTAAGTTAAAAATTATCACTTTGGTGCTATTAAGAGTTTCAAATGAGAAACACCTTTAAAAGTTATATCCTTTGTTTACACTGAAATCCCGAAACCCGCTTCTTCTATTTTCAGTAAAACCAATTTATCAGCTTATTAAAATCTTCTATTTCTTTCATAATTCAAACATCCTTATCACTCCCTCGGTTTCTGGAATTCGAGCATGCACACACAACGTATAGCTCCATCCTTATTATCATTTTACTGCTGCGTCAATCTCCTAATGTACAAAAAATATTAACACTGCAGCCTCAGGATTGGTCAAGAACACACACACACACGAAAGAAATTAAAGTAGTGATATTACAGTGAGTCTGACTTTCATTCCAATTCCGTGTTTTTTTCCACATAGTTAACAAGTCTTCGATCATTGCCTAACAATCTCTTCAGTCAGTACACTGTCGGTTCTCTTTTCACCAATAATGACAACAGCTAATTCAATATTTCAAGACACTGAACTGTGGGAAGACGAATTCTACTGTTAGTTTAATTAATAGTACACTTTTGTTTACGGTTTGGACTTGCTCTGACTTTTTGGGTGGTAAAAATCAGCCTCTTGATTCTTGCTTTCTTTTAACGTTTATAATAGTTAGATTTCTTTGTTTGTTATTAAACACAATGCTAAACAATGGGCTGTCTGTGCTTTTGCTCACTGCTGGTATCGAAACCCGATTTTTAGCGTTATAAGCCACCCGGAAACTGTTTATTAGGCTTGAACTTTACCTTGTTCTAAGACAAGTATTTCATCGTATAACTTGTTCGAATTAGTTACAAAATTATTAATTTGTTTAAAATTAATTCTATATATTTAACATTCACGCAGTTAGGTAATTTTATTTATTTATTTTTTTGTTAACTTGCTAAACAATGATCAAATGTATTGTGTGTGTATCGAGATATACAACTAGGACTTTTGAGAACCACAGGTATATTGTAAGGCGCATGCTCCAACTCAACAGTTCCCTTAATTAAGTCTAATATATACACAATATACCCGCAGGGCGGGAATGCAAATACGCATCTCCCCATGATTTTATATATATATAATTGTTGTATGAATTAATAGTTTATTACATATTGTAATCTTTGTACTGTTATCCAGTACTAAATAATTGTAACTAATACAATAACATTGATGCCGGCACTGCATATCGGTGAAATTCATCAACGTTTTAAATACAATACAATACAATTGCTCAACACAATACTATTTCTCATACTTAGCATTTGCTTGTGGTTCTTACAGCATAATTTAACAGGCGTTGTAAAATCAGAGAACATCTGGATGAAGGAGAGGGAGGGGTTGGCGGTCAATGTGCTTAGTCACTGCTCACGTGCTCTTAAAACGATAACTAAAGTTGCCCCTCAGGTTGATATCCCTGCTTTTTTTCTATTTTGTTTTAATATGTGTATTTTTTGCGTGTTTTATTTATATAACTTGGTACGATTAAAATATCACATGATATCTTACTGTAGTCCAAAGCATCGATGTAGACTATTTCTCACCGCTCAAAGAATATAGTTAGCATTTTTCCACTCCTAATTGTACGCATTAAATTCAAAAGTCCATCTAAACAAACAGAGACTGCCAATTCTAAATCACCAACATAGTGGGGCGTCTAATCTCTAGTTAGTATAACTGCATCTTAAATCTATACTTTGACATCAACCGGCAGTTCAAAATTCTTTCAATGCAAAAAAAGATAAACTGAAAATCTCACTTGTATAGTTTTTATCGCTCTCAAAGTTATACTTCATATGAATGTACGAAAAAAACTAACAAAAACAAGAAAAGAATAGAGCGTGAGTCGCACGCGAAATCAGCACTTCGACACATCTCGTGCATATCTTCGATGATAATATCTGTCAAGATTAGTTAGATCGTCCGTGGTCAGTGATGCGTAAACTGCACGGACTGAACTCTGCCACATGGGTCCAGGAATGGCTTTATAGGCTATATGAAGGAAGGGGGGGACTCACCGGAAATATTAAGT